GCCCGGTACACCGAGCCCGAGTCGAAACACCGATACAGTACGGTACAGCAAACCTTGCATTATACTATTGTTTTATGTCAATTATTGTTGTCCATATAGATTCATGTTCTCCCATGATGCTTCATGGAACTAGTAACATTATATTTCATGTCTTAACAAAGGAAAACATCATCAAAATTATGCATGACTAATTATACAATATACCGGATTGTAAAACCTCTGCTTCGAAAATCCACTATCCACAACGTAGACAACACCCTGCATAAATCAGGAAGGGACAAAATTAAGCCATTGAAATTGCTTTGAGTAAAGACAGAATAGTTGATACCTCTAAAGTCAATGATGTCTCTGCAATATTGGTTGATATCACAACTTTCCTCTTTCCCTTGGGAGTAGGAGCAAATACCAGATCCTAAAGACAACAATTTTCATGTGGATGCATCTAACTGATCAAACAACTCCCATACTGATGGATTTACTTAATTGATATAGACTAGCTAGCTCAAAGTAATTGTTATCCAACATGTACCTGATCAACACGTGAAAGTCCAGAGTATAATGGCAAAACCAACAACCCTAGTAGCAAGGCTACACTGTCATTTACTACCTTCAAGATGCTTTTTGCCAGAACCCTTTTCATTTTTTTAAAAACAAAATGAAAGTAAATATATGATTCAAAGAAGACACAAATCTACCTGATGTGCGTCTTCGATCATCTTGAGTATCCTCCCTCAATAACTTTACAGCAGCATCAATATCATCTTGACCCGTAAGGAACACCAGAATATCACCAGCTGGCTCCTGCACCATATTAAAATGAAAATCAAACACCACATTCAAATGCCCGGAGTCCAACCATAATAAATGACATAACAGCTCCGAATAATAACTTCTAAGTTATCAAGACTTGCATGTCAATGGAATTTTATATTGTTAATCAACATGCAGAGATTATTCAGCAACAAATACCCCTGTCATTCTGTGCCACCTTTCCCAGAATAGCAACAGCATAAGAAAAAGATGTACCTATTGTAACCTATGCACAAACTGGACTAATGCACAGGCCTGTGACCAACGGGTGGCATGCAGCAAGTACCATATCAACTTAGGGAATGCAAATGCTTTTAACTAAGTTGCAGGAATGGTGTGCACTGCAATTTTAACTTAGATTTTGCAAATGACAGATTAAGAACATCACGAACCAGCAAAATGATTTTTCAAGTAAACCACCATTACTTTAGCCAAGCAGAAATCTACCTTATCATTGATTGATAGAACAGTACCAACAGCGGCTTGCAAATAATCAGGCACTGGCTCTTCAACATAATGAATTTCCACAGTATAACCTTTACCCTAACACACTAAAGTTAGTCAGCTAATGGTACAGTTCATTTACAATATAAAGATCACTTTGTAACAGTTCTAACAGTAAGCAATAAGTACATCGAGACAAAATATTGAAACACAAACATTATCAGAGCATACTTCAACAGAAAGGACGGCAGGCAGATGACTTGGCACAGAGTCTTCAGCTGCATGCCGTAAATCCTTCTTTCTGAATGCAATAAATGACAATCAAAAAGTTGTAGCAAATAAAGATGCTCTAAAATATATAAATATAATTATAAAGGTTGATTATGTACTATTTGTAAAACATGGTACCAAAGATAATCAACCACGCGTAGTAGCTGAAATTAAATTTATAAGGAAAAAATCATGGAGAAGACAAGGAGATGCCCCAGAAGAGAATTTCAGGATGGAGGTAAGGAAAGAGGAGAGAAAAAAAAGGTAATACCAAATAATGCTTGGATTTGGCAAAATAAAATAATTATAGTTCACTTTCAAAGGAGTCCAGAAAAAGGTTCATTGGGACTGAATAAAGCAAGATGATTATATAAAGCAGAAGTCAAAAATGATAAACTAAACTAATTAAGGACATGACCTAGCTTGGAAAAAAGTTGACATGGACTTTGCCTCAATTGTTGCAGATGATATGATTATACGCAACTCAGGCCTCCGGCGTTGGATCTGGAATATTAATACACAACATTAGCTTAAAAATATAAAAGAGAGAGTAGCACTTTTAATGAGATAAAAGCTAGATAGGTTCATTAAAAAGTTCACCTTCTTCAAGAGGCCTAATAACATGTCCGTTGACAAGGATCTTTCATGAGCCTCGTCCACCATTATGACACTAGGCAAGGCAAGACAAACAGATAAAAGAGTCATTCAAGGATACTATTGTAAGACACTCTATCGCTATCAAATGAAAATCAAAAAAGAAAAAGAGGGAGAAAGTAAAGCATAAATGCAAACAATTCATGTTGGAGTAGAAATCACATGAATTACTCGATAAGAATAATTTTATCTTCATAAACATATATGAAGACGTAAGAAAGCAACCACATATAAATCATTAGCAGTACCTATACTTGGTTAAAAGAGGATCATCCATCATTTCTCTGATCAGCACCCCATCAGTGAGAAATTTTATCACAGTCACACTCTACACCAAATACGCAGATCCATAACCAAAACTTATTAGGTGATATCCAATGTTCAAGATAGAAAGATGCTTCATATCCCGACACTTCAGACAGAAATGTCAACAATCATGAAAGTTATTACCGGATTTGTCTGATCTTCAAATCGTATAGTATAACCAACTTCTTCTCCAATTTTGACACCCATCTCCTCAGCTACCCGTGATGCGACTGACTATATGAGTGCAATACAAAAAAAAAGTATAATTACATTGTTAATGAACCACCAAAGGGTAAGGCAATTCCAAGTGATTACATTTTTTACCTACCTTTTAACATGTCAAGAATGAAGCATTAATTATGTTTCTACTGGCAAAGAATCTGACGATCAATGAGTCGAACTAAATCTGATGATTTCTTTTATTGCTTGAGTGCCCAGATGTCTTATTTTGCAAATGTAAATAAATGTTCTAAAAAGTGGAAGTTGTATTCAGCAGCTGGGGTAGCGTAGATATAAGAGTATGATGGCCACATAAGTGGCCAGCTTCCAGCAGACACAGCTGAAAACAAGCAAATCTTAGATAAGAACAAATAAACAAAGGAGGAAAGGGAGAAGAAATGTAGCAGTAGTGCAAACTGCAAAAGAACAAGAGCAATAGAGGGGACAGAGGAAACAAAAGGGATAAAACGGTGAATAAATGAAGCTACGAGATGGACAGCAAATATAAAATCCTACACAAATTGTAAACCACTTGGTAGAACAGCCAACATGACTAGATGTTGCCTTAACTAACCGTACTTACACGTGACCAACAATGTTTTGTTCAGCTTCCAGAAATGATTTATTTTAAAGACAATGTGTTATCTGAAGTCGTAGTTTTAGTTTGCATCACAACATCACTAGGACAAAGTATATCATTATTTTACATAAATTAAACATTACCAGACGATAGTATACACGATAAGAAATACTTTATTTATATATTTGTTAATCTATAACATATTATTTCATAATGTTCAGTGGTCTTTTAACATCCCAACATTGATATATAGTAAACTGTGAACCAAACTGAGCCAAATGGACATATTTTGTTCAAATTACCAATTGAGCAAGCCCATTTCCACAAACCCTAATGGTAGTGTTAGCATAGACCAAGCCAATGCACACTTATCAGCAAAAAATTCTTTTTAGGCACAAAAACTATAACTAAACTAGTTAGACAATTTGAAAGAGAAGAAAATAATTACTGGTTGGTAGAATTGGAAGCATAATACACACAGTAATAGATCAAAACTATGCAACAGTAATCACCTGAACAGCCAATCGCCTAGGTTGTGTGCAAGCTACAACACGACCACCTTCAGCCCAACCTGCCTCTTTAAGATACTTGCAAAGAAAACAGATCATTCAACAAACAGTATACTATAAAAATATTAGAGAAGTTATCTAAACTATTGATAAATTATATATAGATTTCAATGGCAGAAAAAGATCCATGTAGCTGACCCCAAATAGTTTGGACAATGTTGTTGTTGTATCTAAACTACTAATAAATACAAAAGTCCTAAGTTGTTCAAATGACATGGAAGTAAGCAGAAGTGGTTATATGATCAATGATATATTAACATGAACATATTGATAATATTAATATGAAAATAATAATAAATTTACACATGATCAAGATTACTACAGATGTTCCATGCATACACACACAACAGAAGGCAACAATGAAATGGCTTCAATTAGAAGATGGTAACAGTGTTTACTTCCATCAAGTGCTAAAAGCTAGATGATCTTGCAATAGAATTTCTCTTGTAATATGGATGGATAAGACTAGTTAGGATAACAAATTGAAGAAGAAATATAATTCAAGAATTTGTTAGGATGAAGATATCATGCTCAACTGCTCTCTCAAGCTTCTGTTGAGGAATAACTAAATCTTGTCAAAAGAGTTGATGTGACACCTTAAATAGTCCCACTCAAACTGTAAGAGAATGAATATGATTTTATATAGGTTAGATGAGCCTACAATCATCAACTTGGACTGACATATTTTGGGATCACATGATTTGAGACCTTCAAGATATTCATGGGAACTCACATCAGAGCAAGTATAGTAATATCACAATGTCTGCTAAGCATGATTCCAGACTATGCGTTGACAAGGACGCCAAACTTTTGAGTGGACAAACAAGAAGGATGAAAGCAATAGTATATCGGACTAGATGGACCTAATATCATAAACTTAAGCACAAACATTTGGAATCACATGGCTATGCGTTGACGAGGACACCTAGACTATGAGTGGGAGAACAAGAAGGATGAAATAGTATACAGGACTAGATGGACCTGGTACCATCAGGTCCATAAACTTAAGCAAACGTTATGGATCACATGTTTTTAGACCTTCAAGTCATTGGTCAACACTCTCATCAAGCCAAGTCATGATCATTGATGAGGAAAAGATTAGATAGACCATATACTAACCAGGGTGAGAAGGCCCCGGGACTTGCAGGTAAAGTGCAAGTTTCCCAGCTCGCATGGACTAATGTATGTGTGAATATAAATATTTTGCAGAACTTTTTCCAAATTGGCAAATTATCCTGATAGGGGAAATATTCACCCACGGCTAGGATTTAACATGTAGCTGCCAGCTGCAGAGGCCAGGACAAAATGCAACAAAGCAAATCTGCCACACCAACTAGAATCAAAATGAAAATTATTGCACGCCCCGAATATAAAAGGTGCTTGTCAATGCATTGCACCAGACTAGACTCTCTCTATAATGCACATAAATCCATCTCGCTATTTTCTAACTTGGCATCGGAGAGACATGGTCGAGAGGAGCACTCAACATAGGTCTTGTTGCAGGAGAATGGACATCTGGAATCTTCATCATCAAGCATTGTCGACCAACTCGAGAAAGATTTTCATGTGTATCAAGACTCGAATCGTGAACCGGGTCACTCTGACCTTCTACCTCGGCATTGGCCACCGACACCAAGAGCTAATGCATCCAATTCTTTAAATAGCATGGCACATAACCAAGAAATGGGTCCATACAGGTCCAGCAGAAGCGTCAAAATGACTAAGACCAAATAATTCAGCTCCAACAAATTATCCTAAAAACTTCCAAGAATTCCAGTTCTTCAGAAGGCCATGACATTGAATGCAAAAGTCAACCTGGGGTATCTGGGTGGTCTTCCCGCTGCCGGTCTCACCAACGATAATCGTAGTAGCGTGATTCTCCACCAGGTAAAGGATGGCATCCCGGTACTTGAACACCGGCAGCCTCTGCCGCTGCCTCTCCAAGCTCGAGTGTCCGAACCTATTCGATCCAACAATACCCAGAACATTAGGGTTTACATGGAAAGCATAAGAATCCGTCTACCGGGCGTGGCAAAGAATCAACCAAAAGTGAGGGGGAGAGACGGAAGAAGGGAGATTACCCGGAGGATGAGGAGGGAGGAGGCGCGGAGACGAAAAGGACGCCGCCCTCTTCATCGTCAACTAGCGTCGCTCGGGGTCGCTCCGAGCCCGGTCGCCAGAACTGAGCCATATGTTCACCGTAGGCGAGAACGCTGCGGAGCCGCGGACAAACTCAAAATTTTAGGGCGCGCCGACACCGACCGTGCCCGATTGCCGGCTAATAAACTGGTCATTTAGGTGAATTTTTATTCTATTCATTTTCAAATCTAATCAAATATTTACAATCTAAACTATCATAAATCTAATTATAATTACATAATTTTATACCTATATCAATTTTAACTTCAATTAATCAATTTCTCGTAGGGCCCAAAAATTTTATTTTTTTAGTGTCCTTTTTTTTATTTTGACTGATTTTTTAATAAAAAATTATCCATAATCTTCGTATTGTCATTAAGCATCGAGGTCTATCGATGGTTTCACTTGTGGCCCCTCAAGCCTGCTTGGGTCTAGTTACCATCTGTCTCATAAAAAAAGATGCTGAGGATTGATTAGCCTTGTTCTTTATCATATTATGACACTTCTTTTGTCGATCCCTTCCCCCATAGATTCTCAATCAATCTCTATACTCTCGCTTGCTGCTTTGATACTTCTCTCGACTTATCATTAATTTCCCTAATAAAGCTAGCATCAACTAACTTCTCCTTATCTATAGCATTTGTGGCTAAGTGCACTAAAATCAAAAGCGAGCGAACGACAAGTGAGCGATAATGAAATCTAAGAAGTAGAAGTTTCTCAATATCCTTATCGCATAGTTCACATTAGCAGCATGAAGGCGAATATGATCAATCATGAGAAAAGATGATCATGGCACTACCAAATCCAATGTTATCAGGTAACGAGTCAATGAGAGGGATGTTATAGTATTGTGAGATTTTGTTAACGTTAATAAAAAGCAAAGTTAAGTGGATCTTCAAGACGGTGATGTAATTGAAAGTGGTCCCGATAGAATGACAAGACGAAGGAATAATCCTTTAAAAAATAGGAGACACTGAAAAAGCGAAAGCTTTGGATTTTCTTTTTGAAATTTGCTCTTTCTTTTAAACTATTTTTATAAATGACAATGAATATATTTGTTAATGGAGATTGCTATTGGTCCATACAACCACTTAAAATAATAAAATATAATTTTACTAAATACAACCTCTCAATTATTATTAATTTATATAATTTATTTTATTTTATCTTTGCAAGCATTGATGTCGTAACCATAATCATGTCTTCTCCGATCATTTCTGACTATTAAGAGGGGGAGAGAAAAAAAAAAAAAAAGAAGAGAGAGAAAGGTGTTGTATGAGTCCTCAATTTCAAATCCAAATCCAAATCCAACTGACTATTCACATACCTGAAGTCCTAAAATTGATTTGAGAATCTACTTTTGGCTGATTTCATGAGAAAAACCTCAACTTTTATGTTTTGTTCGGATCATATACTTAAAAAAAGGTTCTTAATGCATTGATTTGGACGAAAAACCAAACTAAACAGAGAGGAAGTGGACAAATAAAGGAGGGGTAATTTATAACATTAAATAGAGAAAAAGATTAAAATGGGTATTGTTTGTGAAAAAAACCCAAAATGATTTTTTTTTGCAAGAATTCATTAAAATATTATGAAATAACAAATTTATCGAACATGTATGTAGAATTAGATATTTATTTCTATAGTCCCTTGTCGTAATAATAAACGAAAGATGCAGGCGTCGTCTCTGTGCTCCTCTTTCTCACATTGTTTTTTTTAATGGGAATCGGACACAAGTCATGCCATTTATTTATTTATTTATTTTTAATGAGAAGCGAAGTCAAGTCTTACACCGGAAGTAATATATATTAAACAAATTAACATATGGACCGACAAAAAATATATATACATATAATTATAAATGACACAAATTCGATGTAATCAAATCAAGTTAAACCATTTAGTATGGCCGCCCAAAGCACGCTTAATTACGTTGTTGATGTGACCAAATGTTAATTAGTCATTTATAATTTGAAATATGAAATTTGGAAGATGATCCATGCAGAGTCAATAAACGAAAAACAAAGAGATCATCGAGTTGAATTCACAGGAGAAGATTTCCTTGTTTCATCTTATGCGCCATATAATTACGAGATAACAGGTTGTTCGCTCGATCAACAAAAGATGTGCTACGATAGCAATAAGGAAATGTTGAAAGATCAAGGGAGGAAATTATATGCCCATCTCACTCTTTATACATACACCCTTTGGACACGACAAGTTTACCTCTCGATTACGCTACTGTGACCTTACAACAACTTCGAGCTGAATTCAAACTACAGTGGTGGAAGAAATAGGAGGCGAAGGAGGAGGAGGAGGAGGAGGAGGAATCTCCGACTCTCCGGTGTCCACCAGGTGGGAGAGCTTGAGATCGGAGCGGCACACGGGGCATGTCGCGCGGGCGCGCAACCAGGCGTCGATGCAGTCGACATGGAAGACGTGAGCGCAGGCTGGCAGCACCCGCACCAACTCGCCTTCGCTCATGGCGCCGAGGCAGACGCTGCACAGCGTCCGTGACGTGCCGCGGTCCTCGCGGGGCCTCTGGTAGGCGACCGTGGGCAGGGCGGCTATGGAGGGTGACCCGAGTCCGGTGATCTTGGGCGGCGAGTTGCGGGCGACGGTCGCGTTGAAGCGGCGGCTGACGCAACGGACGTACAGGGCCCCGATGACGAGGAGGACGCAAGCGGCCACGGCGATAAGGACAGCAGCTCCGACGCCCATGTTGGATGATTGGTTCGAAGCGCTTGTCGAGGGTTGCACTATGTATATATATATATATATGTATACATATATGTATATGTATACATATATATATATACATATACATATATATATATATATATATATATATAATGGAATTTCGAATCCTAAATTTTCTTTTGAGATAAAAAAAATGATGTCACAAACAGTATAAATATGTATAATGTATCCGTATAAATATAAATAGACACGATTTAGAGAGTATAAATAGGTATACACAAAAAAAGAGTATAGATACGTATATTTAATGTATAAATACGTAATACGTATAGAGTAGAGTTAGTTCTATAACCTAATCCTCGATAGATATAAAGCGACACGACCAACCCACGTCACACGTTCCCTCGTCCATCCATTCCAATTACCTCTTCCCTTCCCTCCCTTTCTCCCTCACTCTCCTCCTCCTCCTCCTCCTAATCCCCGGTCCGCCGCTGCCTATCCATCGCCGCCAGCCCTCGGCGTCATCGTCCACCCGTCGATCGAAAGAGAGGAACTAGCAACTTAGGGGAGGGTGGAAGACCGATGAGGCGGTCGGGAGTAGTAGCACCGTCATCGAAGCCCTAAAATAAAGCTCCGCGTCAAGGTCCGGTTCCTTTCTGTTTCTTCATTTTGTGATACTTCCTAGTTTGGAATCTAATGGGCTCTGCTACGATTCTATATGTTTTGTTTCGTTCGAACATTATTCTCGAACATTTACTGGTTGCTGATAAGTAAACTCATCAATCTATGGTTGTGTTCCTTGTATCTACTTTGTTGTTTTATTTAATAATTAAGCACAGATAATTTCTAAAGTTGCAAGAAAAGAAAAATATATCAAGATGTTTCATAGCTTAAGGAAACTAATCAGTCTATGGTTGGTTTCCTTATGTCTAGTTTGTTGGTTTTTAATAATCAAATACAACAAATGTGTAAAGTTGCCAATAAAAATCAAGATCTTTAGCAATTCTTTATCTTTTGATCTCCTTAATTGGAATTTTAAATACATTTGTCCTTTTTTTAGGGTAAGGTACTCCTGTAGTGTCCCTCCTACAAAGCATGCTATTAATCATGTTAACTCCCTAAGATAAGGATTGCTAATCAGTAGTTAAATTGGTCCTTTGGTTGGTCTGATTAATGGATATAAATGAGTTCATAGATAAATTTGTATATCGAACTTAATGTAAATAATATGAATAGGCAAATCTAATAAGTAAACTAACCAACATATGGGTGTTTTCCTTATATCTTGTTTGTTGTTGTTTTATTAGTCAAATACGTCTAATATGCAAAGCTGCAACCAAAAAAAAAAAAAAACAAGTTATTTAGCAACTCTTTATCTTTTGAGCTCCTTAATTGTAATTTTAAATACATTTTTCCTGTTTTTGGAGGATAAGATACTCATGAAATGCCCCTCCTACGGAGCATCTTATTAATCTTGTTAACTTCCTGAGACAAGAATTGCTAGTCAGTAGTTGAATAGTTGCTCCATGATAGTTTCGGATAACTAAATAGGTTATACCATTATTTCATAAACAAAATTGTATATCGAACTTAATGTAAATGATATGAATAGATATTATGTCCTTCATGGAAATAATAATTAAAATTTTCACTATTCATCTATTTGTTACAAAGAAAATAAGATATTTATCTGACACTATCTTGTCATTTTTATATAATTAGGAAAATGGTCCATCTCACTCCTAGCTGACACTACCATGCATTTTATTAGTTGAAAATTAAAATAGAATATATTAGATATTTTTACAGCATGCTTTATTTGAATATGACATTTTCTACCTCACTACCATGGGTTTTATTATTTAAGAATTAAAATAGAATCTATTAGATATTTTTACAGCATGCTTTATCTGAATTATCAAGAGTACAATTTATTAATTATATTTCCTTATCAAACTCTTAATTCCTTTAGTAGGACATCAAAAAGTTTACCTAATGATTTTTTACATCTGATATGTTTCAGTTTTAATTGAAAGTCTTCCATTTAGATCTGAAGGTTCTTTAAATATCTTCTTGACTAGAACATTTACTAGTTGCTGGATAAAAGCAAGATAGATCAACCTGATTAGTAAACTTATCAATATATTTTTGTTATTCCTTATGTCTAGATTGTTGTTTTTTAATAATTAAATACAAGTATATGTAAAGTTACAAAAGAAAAAAAAAGCAACTCATCCTTTTCTTTATCTCCTTACTTGAAATTCTAGATACACCTGCCTTTTGCTTAGGAAAAGATACTCTCGTAATGTTCCCTCTTATAAAGCATGTTATCAATCTAGTTAACGTCCAATACGCTAGTCAATAGTTGATTGGTTTCCCATGTTAGTTCTCGATGATTAGACAAGATATATTATGTCCATTAATGGATATAAAATTAGTCCATAAATAAATTTATATATGTACTCGATGTAAATATATTTTTTTCTTCTTCTCATGTAATTAATTATATTCTTCATGGAATGATGGTAAAAAAATTTCACAATGTATGAGTTGAAAAATGAATATTTATGCAACAGTTTAGTAGGTTATTGTCTGTCTCATTCCTACATGCGATGCCCTGATGGTCTTATTAGAAAGAATCAAAACAGGATTCATTAGATATTTTTACATCATACATTATTTGAATAAGCAAGAGGATATTTATCAATTAGTTTTCATGTTAGACGTTTAATGTTTTAAAATTTTCTACTCAAGAAATTATCCTATATTGACACAAGTCTGTCAATATAGGTTTGACAATTTTATGTATTCTAGAGAATCAAAATATTGGATACCGAATTTTATTAATGTGAAATATTAAATTGGTTTTAAAATTATTACCATAAGTAAATATTTGTTCATTAAGATTTCTTAACAAACATAAATATATGGTCCCGTAGCTCAGTTGGTTAGAGCGTTGGTCTTATGAGCCGAAGGTCGCGGGTTCGAGCCCCGCCGGGACCATAATATTTTTAAAGTTAATTTTGTTATGTTGCATGTATTTTGTGACAAGGTTTATTGTATTAGCACATTTTAGGCAAATATAAATGGTCAAAATATACTCAGGTTAGTTAATACTTCTTATCAGTTTCTATTAAAGATTTAAAAAGAAAGTTGAAATAAGAGCTATGATTCAATTGAGCACCAAATTTATGTATTTTTAATTATATCCTGTGTATTCTCTGATTATTGCAACTTTACGTTACATGCCTAATCAAATTTAGTTTTATTAGCATATTTTATATACGTTTTACATTGTTTAATGTGATCTTTTTCTTTTGTAAAATCATAGTATGGCGATTAGGAATATATGTAATCATTTGACCACCAAATTTTTGTAATTTTAATTATATCTTCTGTGTGATTTGATTATTACAACTTTACATTGCCTCATCAAATTTAGTTCTATTTGCATATTTTATATATGTAATACATCGTTTAATGTGATCTTTATCTTTTGTAAAATATATTATGATGATTAGGAACATGTGTTATAGTGTTTTTAGAAAGATGCATTCCTACTCAAATATTATTTTTTTCGATAATAATTACGGTTAGATTGATAATAATTTTGTGATACACATGTTTTTCCCCATAAAGATCACAAGTTTTTGTTAGACTGATAATAATTTTGAAATACACATTTTTTCCCTTATATTTTAATGAAACTCGTCTAGTGATAATATACATATAGATTGTAGTGAATTCATAGTTATAGGAATAACTAGCCTCTATTGATTTTATAAAACCTTATAATCAATTGGGTCATAGTCCTATAGTTCAAGTCCTTTAGAAACTTCTTATTAAAATGAATACAAATATTTTCATACAATTCCAAATTATAATTTCTTCTTCAGCTTGAGAAATTAGGAAACTTCAAAACTAGTTATACTCATCAAAAGATGTCTCTGATACTCAAAATATTTGTCATACTCTTTTCTTTGATAAAAGACGTACAGATAATAAACTTGTCTTATGACAAACATTAATTATAAATCAAGGAATGCTTAATACTCTACAAACTATGCAAGAATTTAAGGTATCACCTGTCTCTTGGATAATAATTTTTTTTATCTTTTGCGGCATAATTTTGTGTGTAATTAATTTAGTTTGATAATCAATTATTGGATATTTGTCATTTGAGACCTTCTTAATTACTCCTTACCTTTTTTAATTCATTTTGAATTGAAGACAATAAATTTCAGTTTTTAGTTGTAATTTTGTGTATATTTTTAATATTTTATAAATGTTTAGTGCTTCAATTGTCATTTTTTCAAAGTGTTGCAGTTTAAATTAATGGTGTTATGTACCTATAAGCTGCTAGATATAATAGTACATGAGCATAATCTATTAGGTCTACTGCTAAATATAAGAATTTCTATTAGAGCAGAAAACGATGTTCTATTATAGGGGGGAAAAAAATTGCTCTTTAGATATAGAATGTCACAAGGCCTGCTGAACTAAGATCTATAGTACTTCTATAGTATCAGAAAGTATGAATGACAAAAGTATCTAAAATAGTTCCTTGTTTCTGATTTGACAGTATGAAAAGTGTCTCAATAAAGTTAAGGATTTAAACTCCTTTTCTTTACCATCCAACATTGTTATTTCCTGTCCCATTTAACATCTCGTATTTAGTTATAATTTTTTGTTTTTGCAATTTTTGTTATTATGTCTAACCAAATTAAACTTTGTTTTGATATGTGGACATGCAAACATACATAGTAACATGATACGATTGATTAGAAAAAATTATGATAAATCATGTTTATTAGTCGTAAGTCCAAAGCCACACATCAATATCATAAGTCGCTTTCTCGTTGTTGTCCGATCCGACATGAAAAATCACATTGTGTATGTTGGGAGTTCTAAAAATGTATTAAGATCCTTCCTAATAGCTAAAGTTTTGGGACTAGTGACTGCCTAATTATTATCTTATCATGGTATCCTAGCATTTTTATACTCTTAATCTTATCATGGTAAGTTTGTGAAAAATGATGATTAGCTTCTTTTGAGACAAAGGGATAAACTGATACAGGCAAGGATCTGAATATATGAACTCAACCTCACACAGGTGTCCTGACACATCTTGATGTATAATGTCAAGATGATATGTCAAGATGGATATATGGGGTGTCTAGGCTTGTGTCCAACACTCCATCTCACCATGAAATGTCTTAAAAACCATTAAGAAAAGAAAAACCACATATTTGACTCTCAATATATTCACTCTAACATAAAAGTTTAGCCATATCTAAAACTCATGTCAAACATACAATTTAAGCGTTGTAAATTGACAACTCTTCATAAAAACAACATGGATGGGAATAGATGCATAGAAGACATTGTGACTGACACAAGAACAAATACAAAACTGCAAGGGATATACATGTGTAATACCAGCATTTTAAGGGTTACACATTTCCTTTTATCTTTGTGAATCTTGATGCTCTGCAAGATAACCTGCAACATAAAGTATATTAAATTGAACTTTAGGAAGGAATTAGTTTAAGAATCATAGCAAGGATTTTACTTATGAACTTTCTTTAGATAATTAGGAATTTTTATTTAGAAAGAATTCAGATAGGACTAGACCACTCAATATTAAGACCATATTTGTACATTGAGGATATGACATAATTCTCAAGATTTAGTACATGTGAGAATGGAAGAGAAAACATTGATCGATGATGAACATTTTATAATTTTCTGAACACCAACTTCCCAAACAGTTCTTTAACAGATCATGTGTTGCAATCAGATCAACAGAGCTTAGAAGTACACTTCTCCAGGCCTACAAAAGTATATGATATGGTAATATCTTTCTTGATAAACATTGATGTCTAGTCTTGGGTTTCGTATCAATATGTCTTTTGACTTTTCCTTCTCCATGAAAGTGCAAAAAATATAAAATCTCCCCAACTCTCTGACAACACTTACCGTTGACTTGAAACTTCTCAGTCTGATAAGGAATGGTGACCTAAATCTCTAGTCTAAAATGATGAAGCAAAATTGATAACCATGCAGTCATGATCTTTTTCTTCACACTGTTAGAATTTGACTTTATTATCTGGGTTTGCAAAATAGTAGAAGCAGACTAATCTAGAACATTCCCTTGGAATTAGAAACTAAGCTGCAAATCATTTTACAAGTCCATCTTCACCGCGAGTTCTACAAAGAAAAATAGTTGTTGAACTAATCTAAGCCATATTTTTGTCAGACCCAGCACTCAATGCATTACTATGAGCTGGACTGATCTAAGTGAAGTTGAGCCCCAACTTGCACCATCTCATGTCAAAAGGACTTGCATATGGAGTATGAATCTACCAAGTTATGTTAACATCAAATAAAAGAGGAAATTGCATGTCACGATGGCAACTGTCTGTAGTGTCCTCCTAGTCATAGTATCTATTTATTAGACCATGACACCTTGATACAATTTTCTTGAAGAAAAGAATCCACTTAAAATCTGCATGTCATGATGCCAGGTGTCTGTAGTATCCTCGGTTACAATTCTGATTCACCTACGATAAAGACTGTTGCTTCCAGCTAGTTAGAACAGGCCCCGCTGCCAATCAATTATCTCGATTCCCACAATTACGTCAAGTCCTTGAGGATTTCTGCATCATCAATCACTTAAAGTCTATTTATATTGATAGCTCCAGAAGGAAAAGATCAAAACAAAATCTTACACACTAAAATATCTTTCACATGAATGTATTGAGATTAGAAGAGACTCAAGATATAAGCTTCTCAAATTATCACGATACTCGAGTGATTCTCAGTGTTTCACCACTAAAGAATCACTGTGCTCTAGCTGAATCAGAATGTAAGAGTAATCTAGATATCTCTAATAGTTGTCTAATGCTTGTTCATACTTGTCATTTTGACATAGGATCGTGAATTAGATACTTTTTCTTATTACAAACAAATGTGTATCAATTTGTACAATAGACTAGAGATATAATCTTCTCAAATTATCACATTACTCAAACTCATCTCCCTTTCAGTGTTTCAGCCCTAAAGAGTCACTGTGCTATAGCTGAATCAGAATGCAAGAATAATCTAGATATCTCTAATATATGTCTAATGCATGTTCATACTTGTCATTTTGACATAGGGTTGTGAAGCAGATACTTTTTCTCATTGCAAATAAATGCTTATCAATTTGTCCAAAGTCATCCTGTTCATATGTTACACTTGTGTATATAACTTCTGGGCTCTGTACCACTTTCAAGTGGGTAAACTGGGGTCAAACTAAATGGCTGACACATGACACCATGTTCAATTTTACCATGGTGCCAAAAGTCACCCTCTTTCGCTGAAATTGGGTGAGAAAATTATTAATCAATGTTCATTTGTTTTTTTTCTTCCTTTTCTGGCACCAATCAAAGTTGTTGATAATTATTTGGATTCTACCTCTTCAAATACTTGCCCTCTACATGTAGGAAGTCTTAAATATTCCTATTATCAATTTACCACTACTGATACTCATACAGTACATCTAGCAGTCATATTTAAGTTACAAACAAACCTATTACCAACAGACATCACTACATCCTAGCTTCTCTTCCGATAATAGCAAAACTAAAATGCCAAAGTTGCACTATGGCATAGTTGTCTCTTGTTGATCATTCGAAATCACTAATGAAAAGTAAGAAAATCCTACAGACTGAATTCATGTGTACTTTCAAAGCCATGGCATTCTGAATAACATATAATTGCATATAAAAATTAGAGCATTGAGGACAAAATAAGGTCTATAAAAGGTTATGCCAGAATGATCCAAAAGAACAGCCATATAATTTCCTGGGACCTTGCAATTTACCTCTTAGAGTGAATGCTCAGCTAAAGACCTCGTAGAACTTCTCAATGACGAGCAAACCAGAGTCTATCGACTCCAAAGGATCCTTCCTGAGCCGGTGTCTCAAACAGTTCGGAATGACAGTGGCTATGTCTTCTGCAGTCACTTTGTCCCTCCCTTTCAATGCAGCCAAGGCCTTGGCAGCCCTATTGGAGACAATATCTCCTCTCAGCCCATCCACATTCAGCTCTGCACAAACTTTAGAGATCTTCACACGAAGGTCGTGATCGATCTGAACCGATGCAAGCGAGCTCCGTGCCGATGCAATCTGTTGCTGGAGCTTCTCCTGCTCTGCTCGGTAAGTTTCCCTGAACCCCTTGGGGTCTTGATCAAACCCAGCTCTCTCCTCCACAATCTTGACCCGCAGCTCGGCATCCCTCACCGTCCCCACCTGGGCGTGCATTCCGAACCTGTCCAGGAGCTGTGGCCGGAGCTCACCTTCCTCGGGGTTCCCGGAACCGATAAGGATGAACCGAGCGGGGTGGGAAATGGAAATGCCCTCCCTCTCCACGGTGTTCCACCCGGAGGCAGCGGAGTCCAGGAGCACGTCCACCAGGTGGTCGTCCAAGAGATTGACCTCGTCGACGTAGAGAATGCCCCTGTTGGCCTTGGCGAGCAGGCCGGGCTCGAAGGCCTTGACGCCCTCGGTGAGTGCCTTCTCAATGTCGATGGTGCCGCAGACCCGGTCCTCGGTGGCGCCGAGCGGCAGATCGACCATGGTGATCCTGGTGGCGGCCACCGGAAGGGGCTCGCCACGGGCGGCGCGGTCGCGGACGTCCATGCTCATCGACTCGGGGTCCTCGGGGTCGGAGTTAAAAGGGTCGCCCACGACCACCTTGATCTCGGGAAGGAGGTCGACGAGGGAGCGGACGACGGTAGACTTGCCGGTGCCCCGGTCGCCCATGATCATGACGCCGCCGATCTTGGGGTCGATGACATTCAGCAGAAGGCACAGCTTCATCTCGTCCTGCCCCACGATGGCCGAGAACGGGAAGACCGGCCGCTGGCTCTCGCTGCTCATCAACTTCTTTCCCTATCAAATCTCAACAACAAATACGCAAACACCTTTCCAGCATTTGGGATTAACACCATAGGGGAAGCGAGAAGCACCTACCTCATCGGCGGAGGAGAGCTCAGTGGTGGCGGCAGCCGCACCGGAGACCAGGAGGTGGCGCGGCCGGTGCCTGATACTAATTCTGGCACCACTGCTGAGGTTTCTCCGGTGGACAACCCGGGCTGCGAGGGAAAGCAAGTAAGAAGGCCGTGATTCACGACTCGAGGTTGGAATGCGAAGTGGGCTTACCAGGAAATGAGGTTGGAGGGAGAGGAGCGGGGCAATAGGATAGAGTTGGACCTCTGGGAGCGGAGAGGGCGGTGAAGGAGGACGAAAGGAGACCCGCCATGGGAGGATGAAGTCGAGCTCTGCGGCGCTATGCTTGTTTGGAGGCGAGTAACGATGGGCGGAGTCGTATGGTCGGATAAGAAGATAGAGAGGGAAGCGGAGGGATTGCGCGGAATAGATTTCGCCGTTGCCTATGTGGAGTTGGGCCGCCCTTTGATATCGAGCCCAGTCTTTCGGCCCACTACATACTGTGTTAGGCTTCGGTCCATTTGTGCACCGCTCCGATCTTTTTCTTTTTCTTTTAATTATTCACTCCATACAATAAATATATCTAAGATGTTAAAATCACTTCCATGATTATTATTCTAAGGCCGAATGGATTTCATATGATTCGCTAATAATTAAGCCAATTGAAATCATCAAACAAAATAGTACTATATATATATATATCAATAATAAGATAATATCCAATGTTGAAAGGTGAAAATAATTATAAGCTGATTTAAATATGAAAAATATAAGTCCATCAATCACCGTTAAGAAGAGTGATCATTCTTTCCCTTCACCACTTCATCCTCGAACAAATCAACAAGATACAGAGACTTGGATGAGAGCGTGGTAAGATGGGAGTTCTCACAATTTGTTTGAGAGAGTTGGCGCAAGTTTGCTAGACATTCATCATCATCTTTGGTGGAATATGGACTCGTTGCCGTGGTGGAGATACATGAACGAGAAAAAGGAAAGATCAACGTCGGAAACTTGGAAGGGCCGCTCGTGCACACCATACTAGTGTGCATCAAACTCAATGCCTACCTCGTCGAAACCGAAGCAATCAGGAAAAAGGAGGCAATGAGCCATTGCCGAGGACGAGACCGATGCCTCGAGTCACGATGATCCTTTAGGGGTTGCATCTGATACTTTCTCCATCGTTCCTTCCGCTGAACTGTAGAGAAGCACGCTGATGCTCCATTAGATGGTATTCATCTCGGATAATATGCACGAAGGATACTATGGGCATAATGTACTAAGAAAACCATGGATGTAAGTGCAGTTCGTCCACCATTATTATGGGGGCTTTCAATGGCCTGTTCTTGGCTCAAGATCTACCTCGGATAGCATCCAAATCTAGTCATCGTAATAGGATTCGGAATGCTGGATTTCTCATCAAACCATAGTTTTTGTTCAAGTTGCCAGACAGAGATGGCTGTATGTGCATGATCGACTGCTATATTTATTTGTTTAAGAGGAAAAAAGCCTATGATATTCCAACAAATATTGGTAGCATTCCTATAAAGGCATGATAGTGGAGTAGTAGTAGTGCATCATCAGGAAGACAGAACGAGGTGGCAGTGTGTGTGTATGTGATCGCACGCACGATATTAATGATTGCTTGGCTGTATATAAACGTCGAAGGGCAGATTCAACCCTAAAGCAAAGGTCTCATATGTCCTCATGGCATTAGCAAAGGGCTGATGAGAACACCACAGGGTTCGGGGGGTGTTATCGAACATGCAGAACCCCATCCTCGGTGAAAGTGGTCACTCAATAGTTCTAACATTAGTTTACGCATGCAACTTACGTTGGTGCTTAACCTCCATGTATTCTTTAGTGGTGGATGGGCATAACGTGTTCGCCATCTACGCCGAAATAAGATGAGATTGTTTAGTGTTCTATGGTCCCTTTTGCAAGGGATATTTTAGATGTAATATCACTGTGTTGATGATGTCTTTCTTCTTAGAAGAGAATGCAGATTACAATGCAGAAACCCCACCCTGCCGGAGCGATATCATCACCGACGATATGATATCGCTGAGCGGTTCAATTCTCAGGACAAAAAAAGTGTCAACATAACAATCATAATATATTATTATTCGATAAAAAAATTAATCTTAAAATACAAAATTAAATAATAATATATTTTAATTTACGATACGTACCTTTTAGATGCTAATTAGAAATTTTTTTTAATCTATAATACATCGTCGATCGTATGATATATAAAGATAAATCTTGGATATAAAAATATTATACCGTACCACTTGATATGGGCGGTACATATCGATCCACCAAAGGATCGACACGAGGGGTATATCGATATATCTTAATGTATCATGTGTCAGTATAGCTCGGTACGTATCATATCGATAGCTAACCGATATACCAATATAATATGATATTCAATATTACACGAGTTGAGAGAATATATGTAATTATGTATCATATATCAAAAGTTACCATTAAGATTATCTCTTAAGAAATATATATTTTTTTATTCATCAATAATTATATAAATAATATATTTTATTTAATTAAATGGGATCACATAAAAAAATTAAAGATTTTTAGTGTAGGTGGCTTGTGAGGTCCAGGCAGACAAAATCTCAGTGACTAGATTGGCAACTACAGCACTAGGATATAAAGGGATATGTATAGTACGAATGAGCTTTTGTGGAGGACACACTTTTCCATCAACCGTAGGCGAGAAAAGAAGACCTAAAAGTTCTTTCTGGTAACATAAACTTAGCGACTTCTACGTGGAATTGGCAGACCACGAATCAAACTGAACTAAAAAAACGAGATTTTTAGTCTATTATTAATCATCGCTGGGTTGCCCTGTTTAGTGTGGTGTCCTCTCTATATAAGCATGCACACATAGTCTCCTGATGGACATCCGTATTGGCATAGAGATCACTTCCATAGGGCTTCTTAGCATGTCTAAGGAACTGGTGGTGCTCGTCGTCATGTTCTTGGTCTGCTGCAACGCCAGGAGCGAAGCTAGAATGCAGCATCTTCCTGGTGTTCTTCTTGCAGGAGGAGCGCATAACAGCGTCGTCGTCCACGGTGGGAGCTCCACGCCTTGGGCACACGAGAGGAGTGGCTGGAGAAGAATGAAGACAGGTCCAGAGAGAGACGTGCCTGGAGGCCCTGACCGTCTGCACCACATCCTCTCGCCGCCAGCTCCGTAGCAACTCTCCTTCATCCTGTTCCGGACTTCATCTTCGGTCTGCTGTTGCACTATTTCTGTGACAATAAGGGTCTCGTCTTTCCAACTCGAAAGACGAGGAAGAATGGCTGATGCAAGTACTTCAGCGAGTTTGAAGTATATTATTGTATTATTATTATTAGCTTTTGTTGTCGGCGGCCTACGCCGAAGTGGAAGGTCAACCCGTTCATCCTAATTCGTTTTCCAAGCTTTCATGTAACGTATGAATCCTTCTTGAAATGGTTGGTGACGCTCCTCGGTACAAATCTTCAATCGAGCTTTCATATCCCTTTCATATCCCTTCTTTTACGACAAGATCAGTGAACCTCAAACTATACGAGGAAATCTCTTTATTTTCTTGAGAAAAATCCTCTATTCTTTGAGGGAAATCTTTTCTCATAATTTGTATAAATAGGAGAGGGAACATGTTAATGTATTGAAGCATTTTTCATTTCTTCAATAAAGCTTTTTCACTTCTTCGCTTCTTCAATAATTATTCTTATCTTCTATTATTTTCAGAACAGTGAAAAAAACGAAGTTTCGCTCTTGCCTTTGGCCAACGACCAACGTCGTTGAGAAAAGCGAAGCTTCGCCCTTGTCTTCGGCCAGCGACCATCGTCGCTGCAGCCATATTCCTAAGAGGCTCCACGACCAATCCTCATCTTCCTCACCGCAGTAGCCTTCGTTGCCTTTGCTGATCTGCCAACAGTCGGTGAACTTAAGGAGAACGAAGGAAACGCCTGTGCCCTCACAGCAATAGCAATTGCAACAGCAACAACGATCTGCTCTTGCCTTACTCACAAAGTCTCTCGCTTGTAAACCATTATTTGCATCGATCCAAGATTGGTATCCTTATTACGAGGGAAAATCCTTTATCCTAATATGTATAAATAAGAGAGGGAACATGTTAAAGCATTTTTCATTTCTTCAATAAAATTTCTTCACTTCTTTAATAAATTTTTTTCACTAATTGTTCTTATCTTCTACCCCCGCAAGATGATGCTTCTGATAAGGATACCAATCTTGGATCGATACAAAGAATGATTTACAAATAAAAGACTTCGTAAGTAGGGCAAAAACAGATCTATATGTCTCTCCGATACTTAAGTTATCGTAACAAAATATAATTTTACCTATGACTAATATCTATATGTCTATGTAGGTTCAAAATTAGGAACCATGACAATAGATCCCATGTTTAGTTTTTCTTATATTTTTTATTAATTATTGTCCGTAAGACGTTTTTAAAAATCATAATTAAAGGTTAAAATTAAATGACAATTACCAAAATTATGGCAATTGTTTAATTATTATTGTGGTTAGATAAAACTGTAACATAAAGTATATTTTGTTGTCTTCGTTATCGTGTTATAGCACTGCATCGAGCTACCACCATGGAAGAAGACGCTGCTATACATAGATCTCCTTCTTCTTTGACACGACGAGGACCGGTTCCTCGGGCATGCTAACCACTACAGAAGTCGGTGCTCGACGTCCATCAAGAGTGTACTACTGTGTATTCACGGAGGGAGAGGATGAGAAGAGAATAGCAGTTCCTCAGACATGCATGCTGGCTACAGATGATGGAATGATACTTCATTCTGTGTTTCGTCGTACGGAGCGCCCCATGAAAGCACAAGCTTAGTCCTTCTTCTTCTTCTTCTTCTATGTTTGTTTCATCTCGTGATCTCCGTTCAACAGTGGACGATGGAGCCACTGTTTGGCAGGCAATGGATGATGCGAGCCTGCACTGCGTTGGGTGGTGCTGCTCACCCTAACTTATCATAAAGAAATAGATACAGATCTAAATAAGAAGCAAACATAGCCTTTTGTAGGAGAAGAAATCATCAATGATTGGATGCTCAACTCAATGTTGCTCTTTGATATCTCTACCGGTGAGATATGATCCAAAACTCATTATTTTTTGTGCCAAAAGTTGATACTCTAATAAATCTAACGATAATTATTTATAATCTTATTGATTCTGATTAGCAAAAAATTTTTATCCTCACATGTTGTTGATATAGGAAAATAATATGGACTTATTACGTATCACTCTTTAATATTTTGGTCTCTACCTTTATAAAAGTTATATTAAAAATCCTATACTTACTAAAGTGAAATATTTAATCTCATTTCTCTTCACGTCATCAATTCTGG